CTGTGATTTATGACCTGAGCATCCAGCACTCTCGATGCACTAACAAGATGGCCCGCTGAGCATGAAATATATCCCCACAATGAAAGCAAACACCACCTTGTGATAGAAAGCCTTGTCAACACACAAGGAATTAAACACATACTAGTTCTAAGTTTTAATCTTTCTTTCATGTTGCCATAAGGAATGGCAAAAAATAGGCTAAGATCTATAGGTAGACAAGATTTCATATACTAGACAAGGACTCTAAATGGTATCTAATTCCGGAGACAAAATAGGAGCAAGGATATTTGGCAGGATGTCAACATGGTTTCCACTAGTACATGACAGGGACTCATTACGGGCTTGCTGTTGCCTGTAAGCTGGTTTCACTACCATCAACTACGAGGCCAGAATGCACAGTTCCAGATGCTCTCTCCAATTGACCATAAAATTGCTATGCATTTCTGGCCAAGCCTAAGATTTTAAAAGCCCCCTCCCCCTCCCCTCAACACTCTACCCCCAATTCCCTCTGAAAAGCTGCTCATTATTCTTCCTTTGCCCCCTGATCTCAGCAAAAGAAATACTTCTGGAATCAATTAGAAATGTCTGCCCTTGATGAGGTTTGCACGTGAGCGCAGAGCTGTGAGGCTTTGATAGCAGCAGCCAACAGCTGCAGTTTCAGGTGGTAAAATCTGAGCAGGAATTTTCCAGGGTTTATTTACCATCATAAAATTGTAAAAATAGGCAAGACATGTCAGAGACCATCGTATATGCCTTTGAAAGAGAGGTTAAATTTGGATTATGTGTTTATTCTGCCCACAATGAGAAATTTGGAGGACTCTGCTTGGAGGTGTTTCAATTGTCTTAATAGATTGTGTCAAATGATTTCAAATAGTGGAAATAGCGGTCTCCTTCCTGTGCACTAGTGGCAAAATAGCAGCTCTTATTTTTTCCCACCTATCTTATTAATTGCTTGACATGTGAAGATAGTCCATCTTAATGGGAATCAAAACTCATCTTCTGAAAAAAAAAACAGATGTGAGGTAATAAGATGCCTTGTTTACTTGTGGAAGTTAATTTAAATGCTATTTAAACCTAAAGATGTGATGCTACCTAACTCAAAGTCTGCTGTAAAACAATAAGTATGTCACATAGCTCGTAATGTGGTACTAGTTGCCACTGAATGTGTGGACTTCCTATGTGACACACACATTTAAGCATGTTATTGCTGATAGTTGCATTTGATCCATTTCCAACTCATGCTGACCCCATGTGTACAGAGGCAAATTGCTCCATAGAGTTTCTAAGGCTGTGACTTTTTAGAAGCTGATATTGTCTTCCAGGTCACCTCTGAGGTGTGTGAGAACCAGAACTTTACATCTGTCTAAATTTGTTTAATCTTGGTAAATGCTGTGAAATTGGAACAAAAATAAGTTTTATCATGTGAGTATAACAGAACAATAATCAGAATAGGAAAATGATGGATTGAAAGCCTGAAACAGGAGGCATAGCAAATCCTTTCAGGATCTCGATATGATATGGGAAACTGAATCATTACCAGAACCAGGTTGTGCAACACACATTCAGAAGTGTATCACTCTTGTCTACTGTCAGTCAAGAGATTTGGTTCCTATGCAATGCATACACTGCCCTTGTTTTTCCAAAGGGAGAGTCTATTACTAGTAGGACATTAATGATTTCTTTTTTTTTAATTATTAAATTTTATTAATTTTAATGAACATTTACAGAGATTAGGGGTTTTCATTCATTCACTGTTGCACTATTTTCTCTACCCTCCTCCCCAGTTTGTTCTTTTTTTTGTTCCCCCCCCCTTGAAAATCTGTTTTAATTGTCCAATTGCCACAGTGCTTGTCAACGCCAGTTCTGATTAATCTCTTTAGTCATTGTGTCCTTTGCCATTCCTTATCACTGCTCCCTGAGAGAGACTTCACCTGATTCATAAGGAAAAGGGGATGGCGTATTCTCTTAGCTACTTCCTGCTGAAAAGTGACGCTGTAGGTTTCAGGGGGAAGATCTCCTCTCACTACTCTAAAGGGCTCCTTTGGCAATAGGAAGCACATAGACTATTATGGAGATTGATTTTAGAATTTAGATGCACTGTTATCAATTGTGTTTAGCTGTACATGTTCATAATGATTCCTTTCTTAATGTCTGTTATTGTTATATCTTTTCATTTTAACACTTTTAAAGTGTCTTTTTGCAAAAGATTTCTCCAACACAATATATCTTTTGATTTCTTGTTTACTTCTGTAGGTGTTGATTGTGTTCTAAATAAAATTAAATCCTTGAAAGCCTCAATAAATTTTGTGTTCATCATGATGTGGCTTATTGGCTCAGTCATGAAAATTTTCATTTTCTTTATTTAAGTGTTTAATCCATACATTAGGCTGTAGTCTTTGTTTAATCCATACATTAGGCTGTAGTCTTTGATACTAATGTTAGTCCTTAAAATCCCTTAAATTTCAGCAAGCATGGTTGTGTTACCTCCTTATTGTAGACTGATAATGAGTATTTCTTCAATAGCAATGCCACCTTATTAATATAATCCAGTTTCTAAAATTAATTTCTTAGTGTATAGGCTGAATATTATCTTTAAAGATAACCTACTGAATAATATTGTTGCCATTTTCTTTAGCTATACATGCGTATAAGATTTGTTATGGAAATTTGAGTGCATAATTTTTATTTTCTTAAAAGTGATTTGTGTTGTTCTACAAACGTGTTACTTATATAAGCTTTTATAAATATCTTTTTATATTGTTATTGTTGTCATTTGTCATCAAATTAGAACCAATTCATACCTGACCCTCCAACACATTTTCAGAGTCTGTAAATAGAATGGGGGAGACTCAAACGACATGCCTTTTTATTGGCAGCACAATTCCTTATCACTAGGCCACCAAAGCTCTCTAAGACACATCATTATATTCAGAATTATAATTCCCATAATTACATCTCTGCAATCTGTATGCTAAGCAAAGCATTCAAGATTCTGTACCATAAGAAGAAGAATATGGCATCAAGCTTTGAGAAGACTCATCAACAACTTGCATTATGCAGCTAACACAACCTTGATTGCAGAAAGTGAAGAAGACGTAGCACTAACTGTAGACAATTAAAGAATATGGTCTTCAACGTGAGCTGCATCTAACTTCAAGAAAACAGAAATCATCAGAATGGGACTAATAGGTAATGTCTTGATAGAGGGAGAAAAGATTTAAGTTGTCAATGATTTCATGTTACTTGGGTCCACAATTTAAACCCGTGGAAGCAGCAATCAAGAAATCAAAAGACATATTGCATTGGGGAAATCTGTTGTCAAGGATCTCTCCAAAGTTTAAAGTCTTAGATACACCTAATCCTAACCTTGGTCTTTTCAATTGCTTCCTATGCATCTGAAAGTTGAACAATGGATAAAGAAAGCAGAGCAGATAAGAACCATGTCTTTCAATTGTGGTGTGGCAAAGAACACTGAATGTAACAAGGATTGACAAAAGAACAAACAAATCTGCCTTAAAGTAAGTGCAAATAGAGTGTTCTCAAAGGCATGAATTGTGAACTTCATCTCACTACTTGGAGCATATTTTCAGGATGAGTCTGTCCTTGGAGAGAGACATCAAGCTGAGAAATGTAAAAGGTCAGAAAAAGAGAGGAAGAGTTTCACCAGATGGACCATCAAAGTGACTTCGCAAATGGGATTGAGCATGACAGAGATCACGAAAATGTCACAGGATAGTGCAAGGTTTATATCTGCTGTTCATGGGCTTGCTTATATGAGTTGTAGTTGATTAAACAGCACCTAACACCACCAGCTCCAGCCTCTCTCTTCAGTAACCATGTTGGAATTTTAAACACCTTTCTTTTGCTTGTTTGTTTTTCCCCCTTCTGAGCCTTGGTTACATAGTGCTAAGAATTTTACTTTCAACCCAAAGATATGAGGTTCAAATCTACCAGCTATTCCCATAGGAGAAAGATGGGCAGTCTTCTCCTGTGCAATTTACTGTCTCCTGAATCATTGTGGAGCTTCAGCTGAATCAGTTCCAACTTGATGACAGACAACAACACTGTTCTTCCTAACATCCTGCAATTTCTACTTATTTAATAGCACAGAGATAAAGAAGAGAAATATTTCAGTTTTGTTTCTTCGGCAGTATTTGCATACTTACATTGCATTTTCTGTGAGTATAGACAGTGACTCACTAATTAGTCTGTAGCTTCTAGAATGAAGTTTTAGTAGAACAAAACAAAAAATCCTGACATTGCTATTAAATAATGATATTCATAGAATAAGTAGCTGGGGAAAAATCCATCATAAAGAATCTTTAATATCTCAGATGAACTGATGTTCACAATGACTGTAGCAATGGGTATGAGCGTGTCAGCAATGGTGAGGATGACGCAGGTAGGGCAAGGTTAGATCTATCGTTCCTTGGGTCCCTTGAGTCATGGGTGACTTGACACTAACAGCAACAACAACAGCTCATATGGACCATGGTGAGGTAAAGTTGCTTAAGAACATGTTTTGCCTTAAGGCTTCCTGGGTGGAGTAATGCATAACAATAAGACAAAAGAACAAAAAGAAACAAGACTGAGGAACTTTTAATTACCATCTTCTAAAATAATGCCTCATTTATCCTTCTCAATGTCCTCCATATGTCCTGCATTTTATTGAGGAGCCAAAACTTCCTGTAACCAGGAAAGGAAGAAAAAAAAAATTAAAACGTGAAAAAGCTGTACTTAAGCTTTAGCCATACTTTGGAATTTACTTTACTGTGATCAGATCGCTACAGAAAGGAAAAGTTGACTAAGTTGTTCATTCCTTTTCTCTGAGATGTAACATCCACCATGCCAACTTTCCCTAAATGTGCTCGGCTTTAAGAGTAAATTCCGGTTGTTTGCTTGATATTGGACCCTGTGGCGGCTGAAACATCCTCTCTAGGGAGGAAAGGGAAATGTGTTCTTTCTGATTTTTGAATGTGAGGTTTCCTTCAAACTACCAGGTGAGAGCGTGGCTCGCTAATAATCCTGAGGACATGCAGTCTCAGAGAAAAGCAGCTCGCTGGTGGAGGATTACCACCGGGCTTCATCACCTGCCACTCACAAATGCCCTGTTTCAGTGGCATCCTGTCTTGCTTGTGCTTACATAATGGATCTGAGGAAACCGGCTGACACATACTGAAAGTGGATATGGATTTTATATTCCCCCGTCAGGTTTATACTGTTTTCTGTTTTATTTTCTACAAAATTCAATAGTAATGAGAAATGTTAGGGAATGCAGCACGACGAGAAGGTAGTATCTCCCTCCTGGATTGTGTTTGTCTATGATGTAGACAGTGACTGCTTTGGCCTAACATTAAAAATATTAAATTACTGAAATGAGATGTAAAGAAAACTGGCTTTGGATTACATACTCACGGCACTGCTCTAAATTATTATCACAAGTAGAGTCAGTTCTCACTTTCGCCGTCTGTGAAGTCAAGGAAAGAATAACGTTAACCCAGTGTTTAAGGTTTCATGCTGCATTTGTGATTTAAAAAAAAAAAATCACATTAGAGTGTCCCAATGGATAAATGCTTAACTTAAAACTTAAAAAAAAAAAAAAAAACAAAAAAACCAACAACCCAAAAACCCTTTTGTTGATGTGTTGGAATTAACTCATAGCTGACACTGCAGTAGGATTTTTGGAAGGCTGCAAGTCACACAGGAAGAGATCGGTCATTTTCATCCTATTACACAGTTGGTGGATTTCCTATGCCAGAGGCACAGTCTTTGAGTTAACAGCACAACTTCTTAAGGACTATATGTTATCAGAGTTTAACTACTGGTTCAAATTTGGTTGAAACACATCCAAAAGAACTTGGGAAAGTAGCTCTATGAACCTACTTCCAAAAATTCATAGGTAGTAAGGGAAAACATATGGAGCTTGCAGTCACCATGTGCCAGAAATAGCTTGACAATAACAACCATTGACCCACATCCATCTAAGTTGTCAGCTGGAACGAAGAAGATTCTGAGGAATCTTTGTGAAATGTAGAGAAAGGATGAGTCTAGGAGATTTTCCAGTATGTTGTAGCTATATGCCGTCAAGTAGACTGTGACTCACAGCAACTTTGTGAGCAATACATTCTGAAATCTGCTCTATCCTGTGACATCTCCACATCCCCAACACACTTGAGTTCATTGCTAGGGTACTGTGTCACTCAGTCTTGTCGAGGATCTGAGAAAACATGAAAGAGAAGACAAGGACAATGGTGACATCAGTTATTGCTTGGGAAAATATGACTTTTTATCCACATATTTACCCATTCTCTTGAACCTACAAAATCCAAAATATTAATAATTAGAGTAGGAAAAAAACACAACAAAAAACAAAACCAAAAACCCACAAAATAACATTTTGTTTGCAATAACTTCAACTTTAAAACAGGCTCTGTCACTAGCAGGGGTGGAAGTTAGAGGAGTTCCAGGTTAGAGAAAATGGAACTGAGTAGAGTCTGAAACAAATGTTTTGAGAACACTGGCCACTGAAACAGTAAAGGCAGTCACTTTCACATAAATGACCATCTCTAGGAAGGCTCTCTGGGAATTTTGGTACCAAGAATGATAAGAATTATCCTTAATAAGATTAAGGTAGTGTCCACATTCCCACAGTAAGTACAACCAGAGGTGTGTAGTCCCTCCACTTTTTATCAACTATGAATCATTTAGGTGACTTGGAGAGAAGTCTTATTTGTGGAATCCATTAGCAGTTTGTAATAAACATGTGGAAGTGTTTAATTGAAATGCATTTGGCAGATAATTTAGAGGAAAGTTAAGGTTTGCTGTTTCACTTTTTGTTGTTGTTAGTGATGCTGTGAGGAAATCATAGTACAAAAATTATTTTTCCAGCTTACTAAATACTCTTCAGATGATTGCTGAAGGCTATGGATAGTTTTACATGTGATTCCCATTTCCCATTACCCTCAATTCTACCCCAACTAAGTGGTGCACTGACTTCAAACTGATGTAGTACTTTTACTCTGTTTCAACCGGTTGTTTCAAGTGAAAAACTAAAAGTGAAACATGGAACTGCTTGACTGCCATTTAACATCAGTAGTACTGTGACTATCAGTTGTTGTCAAGTTAATTTGATGCATATGTTTTCTCCATATGCATCAGAGCAGAATTGTGCCACTCAGAGTTTTGGATGTATGGTTCTGTTACTAGTGTCTAGAAACTCTAGCAAGAACAGTCTCTTAAAAAATATATTCTCTGATTATACATATAGAATAACAACACAAATTATCAAAAGAAAGGGATTTGAAAAAAAATCTGCAAGAAAATAATACAGTTTTGAGAAGTACCTGGTGAAGCAAGCAATTAACACATTTGACTGGTAATAGAAAGGGTGGGAGTTTTAGCCCTTGAAAGAAAGGCCTGAATATCTACTTCAAAAAGATCATCACTGAGAACTTCATGGGGCTTATTATTAGCATGATATACCAGAGCTGAGTCAATGTTGTAACAGCGGTATTTGCTTCTCTGATAACCATTGAGTTTATACTATTCCCTTTAGTTAGCCTTAGTGTTAACTTCTTAGTGTTGTTTCTGTATGGTCTACCACCATTTGATCTACAATTATTTTATTCTGCCAAAGACATTTTCTATTATTCCTTTTCCTGATGGTCTGGGGCGGGGGACGGGGGAAGTTGCATCTCTCATTTAGTACAATTTCACTTACTTTTGGTCAGGATCATCCCAGATAGTATGAGTTATGGTTTAGGACAATGCACATATATGTCTCTACCAACCTTCTTCCCCTTTTAAGGAGGAAGGTACTCTTGAATGAGTCCAGGTATTCTTCAAAGGTAGAATTTGGTCTATAGGATACAGACTACTGAGGAGATGTGTGTAATTTAATAATATTAGAGTAAAACATTGTTTTCATCATCATAATGAACTCACCTAATGATGACATAGTTATCAAAGTTTTAGAAAAACTAAAATCTTAAAGATGACAGGTTCCTTTCAAATTCTTAGAAATAAGGCTATAGCTTTATCTTTTATTATAGTGAAGGCATGGCCCATATACTGGGAAAATCTCTAGTTAGTAATTGGCCCTGCCTTCCATTACTATCCTTTATAACTGAAAAATGTTGGTTTCCTTAACTTTTCATAGTGGACAAGAAATATTATATGAGTATCACTTTGAAAATATATATATATATCTCCTTCAACCATACCTTAGTTGTCTTAGGCAGGACAAATTATGATTTCAATTCTGTTCCACACTTTTCTCCCACACTATCAGGAACCTTCTATTTTCATCCATTTCAGAATGGTTAGAAATAATAGCTTGATCCCTTCTAGTTCTGATCTCAGGATTATGGAGGTTGAAGTTGATGTTATTCTTTAATGCTTTGGACTAATAGTCATTTATTTTTTTGTCTTCATTTTTAATATTGTTGTTGTAGTTGGTTGCCTTTTAGTCTAGCAGAACTCATAGCAACCCTATGAACAAAAAAACTGAAACACCTTTACAACTATCAACATTTATCAAAGTTCATAGAGTTTCCAGAGGCATGTTACTTAGGAAGTGGGTGCCACTCCTGCTTCCAAACCTGACAAAGTATGTTATTGTTTTTATGTGCCATCGGATCACCTGCAATGGATAGCCACCCCTATGTACAACAGCTCTAACTCTTTCCTGTGCGAGACATTCTCACTAACTCAGACACACCAACCCTATCGTCCCAGTCATTGTATCAGTCCATCTCATCCAGGGTCTCCCTCTCCTGCACTGTCCTCTCACCCTTCTGAGCATGATGTTCTTCTCCAAGGACCGATCTCTCCTGGCCACTTTTCCAAAGTAAATGAGGCAGAGCTTCAAAATCCTAGCCTCCAAGGAGAGACTTGGTTTTACCCTCTCCAAGCCAGACCTTAGTGTTTTCATTTATAATAGTGATAAAATATTTGTTGTATCTTAAATGGCTACTTGAGAACTTTTATTAAGAACTTCATTCATCATTCCCAAAAGTAGAATGCAGAACATTTACTTAGTAGACTATTTTATGTAAATTGACCTTTATGTTATACTGAAATATGTTCCTGAGCTCCAAATCCCAGAAACTTATTCCCTCTTGGTGCTTGGTATGACTAAAATGCTAAAATGCTTTCACAATTTTGCCACTGTTTGTGCTACCATATATAGCCTATTTCTAGTACATAGAGATACATATGTAAACATATTGTCTAGCAAACATATATGGTCATAGATGTAGTCTCATTTGTCTGTATATGTCTAATTCATATTGTAGTAAACTTGCACATGAACTGGGAGATTATTATCTGTTATTACATATAATCCCAGATTGAATGTCTAGTAGTACTTACCTTTGTTGTCTACAACTCTTGTACACGTCTTTGCATCTTTATTTTAATTAATAATGTTTTACTGCTCACCCCCTTTTTGTTTATTGCTTTTTCCATCACCAAATTTCTTCTCTAGTTAATTTCTTTCCATGTGTAAACCTTTACTTAGCTTTGTATAATGATGGACTAATAAAATATTGTCTGAGAAACAATTTTGAGTCTATATATTGCTATCTATTTTCCTAGGAAAGATATTAATACTTTCAGGGTATAAATTAGGGTATTAATTAGGATTGTGAATTAGAGATTACAGTATGATAAACCTCTATGTCTTTAATATAGATGACAAAATTTCTTATTGCAAACCAAGGAAGATTTTGAAACTTTGATATGAAAACAAATGGAGAGATAAAATACTATCATCAGTTTCCATCCATTGTTATTATAATATTTGCAGAGACATTATGCTCTGATTTTATTTTTTCAGTTTACAGGGGCACCTACCTCTAAGCTATTAACTAATTTGTCTCATGTCCTTTGGTTAGAGAAGAGTCAGGGTACAGGCCAGGAAACACTCTAAATTATCTATGTTTGGAATATTTGTATTTAGATGAGTGAAGGAAGCTAAAATTCATAAAGAAGTATGTACAAGAAAAATAAGTATGCATAATAGAAAAGTAGCACTGAAGTCCTCTGGGAAGAAAAACTAATGACAAACGGACACATATCATAGCAGATTTGAAGATTGATTCATGGGCCTATATTACCTGTTAAAAAAAAAAGAAACTATAATGGT